AATAAATAAATAAAATCTTAAAAAAAAAGAAGATGCAAATAAAAACCTTACACCTGTTAGGATGGCTACCACCAAAAGGAAAAGAGATAACAGGTGATCGTGAGGATTTGGTGAAAAGGGAACACTTACACATTGTTGGTGAGAATGTAAATTGGTCCAACCACTGTGAAAAACAATATGGAGATTCCTTTAAAAAATTAAAAATAGATCTACCATATGACCCAGCAATTCCACTTCTGGTAATACACCCAAAAGCAAAGAAAACAATTTCAACGAGTTATCTGCATTCCCATGTTTATTGCAGCATTATTCACAATAGCCAAGATATGGAAACCTAAATGCCCATCCTTGTATGAATGAATAAAAAAGAGGTGGTACATATATACAATGGGATATTATCCAGCCATGAGAAAGCAAGATATATTCCCATTTTTGACAACATAGATGGAACTTGAGCACATTATGCTAAGCGAGATAAGTCAGAGAAAGACAAGTACTGTATGATAACACTTATATGGAATCTAGAAAAATCAAACTTATAAAAAAATAGAAAACAAATGGTGGTTATCATGACATGAGGGGTGGTGGGGGATAAGAATGATGGTGTCTAAGGGTACAAACTTGTAATGAGTCGTAAATAAGCTATAGAGATCTAATGCACAGAATAATGAATACAGCCAATGATACTGTAATATAATTATGTAAGTGATAAATATTGCTTCATTGGCAATCATATTACAATATATAAATCTATCAAAGTGACACACTGTACACCATAAATTTACAAAATGGAACATGTCAAATTTACTTTGGGGAAAATTTTAAAAAAGAGAAAACCAAAGAGTTGAAGGTAGGATGAAAAATGTAAAGATCCACCAGTCCTTAGAACTAGCTGAAAGCATTAACTGTGCTAGTCATCATGACTGTCTCTGAAACAAAGCACCAGACGGCTTCTGCAACCAGGCACAGATAGAGAAATGTAAGGCAATTGGAAGATTTTGTGCATAAAAGGAAATGTTCTTCTTTTTTAGAAAGTAAACAGACAATATTCTTTGAACAGTGTACTGGAAGGTAAAAATAGTAATGCTGGTACTGGGCAGAGCAACAAAATGGATTTATTTTCTGCCCCAAACTCTTCAGGGTTGCTAAGTTATTCTCCCAGTGTAAAAGCCTGCTAGGAAAGAAAAGTTCCAGTGACAGAATGTGCTTGTACATCACATGAACGAATAGGAAAAAGGAAAGATACTGCACATGAGAAACACAACTGCATGTGCTCTACCCAAGACAGGATGTAGAAGGTGAAAATGAGAAGATGGAAAAGCAGAAGAAGCAAGAAGATCATGTAACTGGAAACACTAGGTGTGAAATTAATGAATCTAGTGAACTTGCCCATCAATAGTTGTCTTGCATTTCAAAGGCTCTATCATGTTACTCATGATCAGCTCTGAGCTTGATGATTTGCTGAGTCATAAATGATCATTAAGACCAGTTTTGCCTTTATGTATTCCTTGCATCAATTTTCTGAAGAAAACAGGAAACTAAGAAAATAGAAAATTGAATTTACTTCCTTATTCTCTTCGAACTTAATTTTTAAAGATTAAAAATCCAAAGCAAATTAAATATGTAATTGCATAAAATTCATGACTGAATTTGGTTTTATGTCTAATTTTCTAAAGATAAAACTTTGTGATGTGAACCCACACAATGAATCTTGAATAACCTTAAGTGAAAACCACAACTGCTATAGAATGCACAGTCACCTTAATGTATAATCAGTTATAAAATTAAAATTAAATTGTCAGTTCTTACTTATTATGGCATCTTAGTTATTTTGAATTAAAAGTGTCCTTAAAGGGGCGCCTGGCTGGCTCACAGCTCAGATCATGATCCCAGGGCCCTGGAATCGAGCCCCACGTTGGCTCCCTGCTCAGTGGGGAGTCTGCTTCTCCCTCTGCCGCTGCCACACCCCACCCCAATCCCTGCTCATTATCACTCTCTCTTGCACTCTCTTTCTCAAATAAATAAAATCTTAAAAAAAAAAGTATCCTTACAAATATTTAATCCAGAGTCCCCTAATAGTGATCATTCATCCTCTTAAACATTTTGGTGACAGGGAATTCACTACCCACTCAGCAGCCTGCCTCACTTGGGTATCTCTAATTCTGACACACACTTCTAATTGTGAGCTGACCTGGGTCTCCTTGGAACTCCACTCCACGGTCTTGGCTCCACTTTCTGAACTTCCACAGAATAAACTCAATTGTTTTCATATTTTCAGTGTCATTCCATTTTCCTTCCTGTACCCCCAAACTTGTTGACTCAACTTGCAAGCCACCATGGAAACAGCCCCACTTCTCTCCGTCAACACCACCACCACTGCAGTCAGAGTGGCCATCATGTCTCAGTGGACTGCTGGACCTACTTCCCCTCCCGCCCCCATTCCCTGCTGTCTATTCCCCACAGAACAGCCAGCATGATCTTTGCTACAGAAGAAATTTTCACTCTATCGCACTTGTAAATAACCTTTAGTTTTCTCCTCAGTACTCGAGATAAATATTCAAAACCCTCAACATGGCCTATCAGACCTAGTCAATCTGGCCCCCATCAGCCTCCCCAGCCCTAATCATTCTTTGGCTATTCTCGCCCTGACTTAACATGCTACATCTTCAATTTCTTTTAGTTCCTCAAACTAATAAGCTCTATGCTGGTCTATGGTATGCTTTCTCCACACTTAACTATTTGAGAATTAGTGGTTGTTCAGGTCTCAGATTATATGTTCTTTCTTCATAGAAACTTCCCAAAGTCCCTAGACTAGGCCAAGTCCTTCTGGAATCTCTCATTGCTCCAATCTTTATCCAATTTATCATAATTTGTTTTGTATAATTAATTCCACAAATAGCAACACTACAATTATTAATAACAATATCTAATTTTATTGAGGGTTCACTAAGTGCTGGGTACTGTTCTAAAAGCACTAGAAGCATTATCTTATTTAATCTTCAGAACAAGCCCGTGAGTAGTTACTATTGCTACCTATACATCACAGATGAGAAAAGGAGGTAGGTGGAAGAATAGGGATTAAAATCCAGCTGATTCTAGAACCTATTAACGTTCTTAACTTTTCCCTGTAATGTTGGTACCTGACTCCTCCACTAACTTGTTAGCCCCAAGACACATGGATACCAATAGCCAGGGAGCCTGTCAGAAGCAAATTACGATCCTGTTTGCCCAGTGCCACAAAATCAGAACAATGTCTCTGTACATTTTCTCTGTACCACCCCTCCCCTGCTCTTTGTGGTGTTCAAATACCTAGGAGAAGGAGAAATTAAATAAGTAAATCTGGTATTCTTGTCTTGACATCTCTGGAGACTTCTTGAATTTTTGAGGCACTTTCCAGAAAACAAATAGCAGAGAACAGGACTAAATTGTGGAGATGAGCAATTTAAATACATTTGTCTGGATTCATTAGCAACAGGGCACGATCTAATATATGCAGAATTCAGATTATTCAGAAAGGGGTTTCAGCTCATTTCCCATAATATTAACAATGATAATTGCCAATATTGCTTAAGAGTTACCATTCACCAAGCTCTATGCTAAGTGATTTTTCTAGTTACTTTGTATAATTATCACACCAACCTGATGAGGTTGATATTATTACAATCCCCTTTTTACTGGATGAGGGAACAGAGATGCAGAAAGAATGGTCAAATGTTTTTCAGAGTCTGCAGTTAGTGAAACTCAGCCCCGCTGGGGCCTAGGCCCTTTAGAACAGTAGGACACCATTGTGCTAAGCAAAGAAAGATTCAGGATACAACCCTACAAACTGTGAGGAGTATCTTTTAATGCAAAACGATGGACTGGGAGGTGAAAGTGAAGGGAATACATCCCTTACATTCCATCAGAGGTAGTGCTAAGTGCCAGGATAGATACAGAACCAAATGTAAAGGGAATTGGGCAGGAGAATGGATAGATATTCTATCTGGGGTGACTCTGGGATTTCTATAAAAATAATAAGGATTTGACTCAGATTGATGGAGCAGGAAAGTAATCTTGAGCCAACTAAGGAACGTACGTTGGTATAGAAATAACAATCAGTCAGAAAACAAGTCATTTATTCAGATAACCAGTATTTGTTAAGGGTTGATCTTGTCCCAGGCACTGCTCTGGGCGCTGAAGAGCTATGAACCAGACTGGGAAAGTCTCTGCTGTTGTAGAGTTTTCCTTCTGGTGGGGACGAGACAGGCAATAAAGAAACAGGTCTGCACACACACGCATGTTCCAGAGGGAACATGTTTCACATACCAGAGGGAAGAGAAGTCCAGGAAAAGGGAAGAGCAAAGACAAAGGGCCAGAGGCAGGCGCATGCCAGGACTCGCAGGGAGCTCCCTGTGGCTGGCAGCGAGGGAGCAGAAGGAAAGTGGGAGGGAAGGGTGACAGATCAGCTGGGACAAACCCTGTGAGGTCAGAACTTTGCAAATGCAACAGGAAATGACTTTCATTAAACTCCTACTATACTGATGGCTGGAGCACTTCTTTCTGACTTTCTTTGAAAAATTATTATACAACATAACATTACAATTTAGAAATAGAAATGAAAAAGTACTTGCAATTTTATCATCTAACATGGCCTTTTTCAGTTTCCTATGTCCTTGTCTAGCCTTTTCCAACGTCCATGTATATATTTACAGTTTTTATCATAGTTACAAACAGCTCTACATCCTGTTAGCTTCTTATCATCTTTGTTTTACAGGTTGATACAAAGCCTTCTGAATAATCATTCTAATGGCTGCATAATATTTCAAGTGCATATCCACTTCCTCTTGGACACACTTCAGTGGCTTCCAGATGGTCACCATTACTGATGATGCACAAATATTTTTCTAGGTTTGGATTATTTGGGAGCCCTTCCACTTCATGAATATTTACTTGGTAAATTCGTAGAGATGTGAGGTATTTCTTGATAATCTCTATAGGTTTGAAATTGTGAGACTTATTACCTGCTGATGGTATCTGTCACTTTCTCAGAGTAGATGCCTTCTGGCACTGGTTCATAAACCGCCTCCACTATCTGCAAAACAGACAGACTAGCATGATGGACGTAAAGAGGCCATTAGTATGTACAATACTTGGCCACAACATGAGAGCTACTCAATGAGCATTACAACCATGCACAAATTTTAATCAGAAACAAAAACATCCCAACAAATAAAAAATTAACATCAATTAAACAGCTCTTGAGCACAGATTGTATTCTTCAAGCTGAGTTAAAGTTAGCCTCAGATTCATAATAAATGATGTGTAGGATACTATAATGTGACGATTATAGGCAGTCCAAACCACAATTAAAAATAAAAGACCAAAAGTAATTTGATATGTTTATTTGTATAATTTTCTATGATAAATGAGGACAATTATAGGGGGAATGCACCATAGCACATGATGTATATTTAGAAGAAAGGGGAAAAAATGAGCTGGATCATGTGGCCAATAAAACAATGTGCCTGCTTTTAATTGACGGTTTTATAAAAATCACAAATGTTCTATTTAGGAAGAAAAAGAATGGCATTTTTAGCAACAAAGACCCTTTTGTCTCCCAACACTGCTTACTTTTGTAGCCAGGGAGAGCATGTTGGTGCTATAGAAGGGAGGATTCAGAGTTGCCATCTGATAAAGGATGCAGCCGGCCGCCCAGACATCAGCCTTCTCCCCATACGGCTCACTCTTCAGTACCTCAGGGCTGAATTAAAATAAGGGTGTTAATAGATACTGAAAAAGGGAGAAGAAATCAGCACAGAAAAAGAGTCCAATTTTCAAGCAATAGTTGGAGATACGCGAAAAAAGAATTGAAACTCTTTCTCACTAATTCAAGTAAATGTATTAAAAAGTATCTTTGAGTTCTCCCAGACTCAGATGAATCAAGAAGCATGATCAAACAATTCCATTTTAAGCACTAAATATCAATGAACCATATAAATATTGCCTATTAAGTATACAAGGAAGTTTTATTTCCAGAAACAATTACCCCTCTGTGGTAGATGGAATTGTTGGCCCCAGTTCTTTACTATTCTGGAGATTTTGTGCATCTCACTCTTACAATGGCCTCTTGGTGGGCAGTATTCATTACCCACCCCTGCCTCTGGTTTTGTTTTGTGTTGCTTTGGCCAATGGAATATGGAAATGTCAGTGAACCAGACCAGAGCCTTTGTCTTAACAAATACTGAGGGCTTTCATTTGTCCTCCTAGGAGATTCTGTCCATTACCAAGAGAAGAACATATCCCAGTGACTGCTATCCCACCAGCCTGGGCCCAGCAGAAGATACGTGGAGTAGATCTAACACAGACAATGCATAAGCCTACAGCCTAACGGAGAACTTGCCCAGAAGACCCAGACCTGTGAGTTTGACAATAAATGCTTATTGTTGAATGCCACCAAAATTTTTGTGATTTGTTAATCAGATTATGGGAAAAACTGACTGATACAGTACCCTCCCCTCTGCTACTCAACTCCAGCCTATAAAGCAGGAAGAAGACCATATTTAAATATGTTGCAGAAAATGACAACATCCATCATGTTCATGTCTTCTGAATTTGCCTTTCCAATATGGACATGGAGGCTGTCAGCTTTTAAATAAACTTAAGCCATGAGAATTTATGGGTTTGACTTTTTTTTTTTTTAATGTGGAGGCAAGTGCAGTTCCCCTGGATATTTTGAAGTAATAGAAGTTTCCTCTATCATATTTGTAGAATGAAACTCAGCAAAGGGTTGAAAGCATTTAATACCCACATGTCCTAAATTAAGTAGTTTAGCAATTCAGTTCTACGATATGTATTTAGGACTGTGCTCAGCCCTCTACATAAATAGAGTAGGGATTAATGGTTAACTGTGATGGTGAGTTAAGGTATAAAGAAACTGACAAACTGATATTAGAACAATCAGAGTAGACATAAATCAATGTTGACTATTAAGAATAATCAAGGAGTTGCTATTTTTGCGAGATTATGAAGAATTTCTGGTTTCAGATTTACATTATGTGCTTGCAGAGGAAAGTATGATTTCTAGGGCTCTCAGTTGAGCATTTTCATTTTTGGTATTGAGCTCAATAATATGGCAAGGGGGAATTGGAAATGAAATTTCCAGAGCTCTGTTCTTTCTAACTGTATAAAAAGTGTCTCCTGTTGTCACCTGGTCAACTGTTCACATTAAGAAATGCCTTAACAAGAAATAATGTCCTCTACAGAAAAAAAAAAAAAAGTTTTGGTTCCCCACAGGCAAATTTCTCAGGTTTTAATCTATAGAGAACTCAGAGGATTTCATATTTCCAAAAGCTCATGAAGCAGATGCTATGACTGTTCTACCCATTTCCCCTCAGACCCTTTTTCCATTTCCTGTTCCTGGTATGCTTTCACTCTCAACAGCCAGCATCTGTATTTCTTTGGAATATTTCTTCTGAAAAAATAATTACTCAACCTGGGGGAAAACACTTGTTAAGAACAGAGTTTACTCAGTTGATTGTTCTCATCATTTCACCTCCTCCTCCTTCTCACTGAAGACCACAAACTCCTCTTTTTCCCACAGGTGTGCCCCTTTACACTGTGGCTTTGCAGCTCCCATTAAAGGAAAGAGTCTATTTCTCTACCCCTTGAATCTGGACTTAATATGCTTGCTTTGGCCGAGAAGATACCAGCAAAAGTGATACAAGAAGAGACTTAGAAAGTACTTACTCTTCAGGGCTTTCTCTTCCTTCCTGCTCTTGAAAACCCTATAAACACGACCAGGTGGCTCAGCCCAGGTCTGCCTGCTGGATGATGATAATATATGGCCCAATTACCTCCACCACCACTACCCATAGACAGTCAACCATAAGACCTGTGAGTGAAGCCATTGGAAACCAGGTAACCACAATGCACACTGAGCCCAGACAATACTCTGATCAGCAATCCTCACTGGGCAGCCCAATTGGCCAACACACAGTGTATTGATTAAAAAAAAAAAAAGTTTATTGTTTTAAGCCACTAAGTTTTGAAGCAGTTTGTCAAAGTTAGCTTATATAATAGCTCTTATCAGATTTTCAAAGTAGTGCATGAGCCCCTGAAAAAAGACCAAGAATTACTTCTCTGAAAAAGAATAAGAAAGGGAAATTAAAGACAAAGAACATGGTTGCCAACTATCACTTTTCTTCTGGGGTAAACTTCAACTATTTTCTAAGGTAAGAATTTCATAATTACAACCAAAAGCAATGACAAACAGAACACAGAGTCTGGTTTCTAGAAGGCACAACAAAATGTTCTGTTATGGTCTGAATTGTGTCCCCCCCAAAATTCATATGTTGAAGTCCCATCCCACTACTTCAGAATGTGACCATATTTTAAAGTAAGATCGGTATGAGATGATTAAGTTAAGATGATACCACTAGGATGGGCCCTAATCCAATATGACTGGTATCCTTACAAGAAGAGGAAGAGACACCATGAGCGTGCATATACAGAAGAACAACCATGTGAAGATGCAACAAGAGGGTGGAATCCTGGCATCTGTAAGCCAAAGGAGACAGGCCTAAAAGGAAATTAAACTGGCCAACACTTTGATCTTGGACTTCCAGCCTTTGGAATTGTGAGAAAATAAATTTAAGCCACCCAGTCTGTTTGTATTTTTGTTATGGCAGCCTTAGAAAACTAATGCAGGTTCTATGAGAAAACCTATTCATGTTTTTTCACCTTCAAAAGAACCCAGCCTTTTGGAAATATGGCTAAAGTCACTGATTCAGCCACAACTTATAAATATCATATAAGTTTTTTGGTGGTTATTATTTAGAAAACCCTTGAAAAATAATTTGTTGTTTTTCCAGTTTCTCTGCTTAAGGTGAGCCCAACCACATTTAGAAAAATACAGAGATTTATAGCTAGCAATGTTTCATTTAGAGGAAAGAAGTTAAATAGTATATACACACACAATTTAAAATGGGTTTTCATTTTTCCAAACAAAAACAATCTGTATTTTAAAAATGGTTATTCCTATGTGATCCAGTCATCTAAAATCTTTTAGTGATAAAATAAAACATAACTTAGGCAATATTAAACAAAAATAGGGGCTCTTCTGGCAAAGATTAAAATATTTACAATTAGGTGTGTAAAAATTACATCCATTGTCAGTTATACATCAATAAAAAAGTATTTATTTTTATTATTGCTGATCTAATGTACAACATGGTGACTATAGTTAATAATAATGTATTATATACTTGAAATTTTCTAGAAGTAGATCACAAGTATTCTCATCACACACACAAAGAGATAACTATGTAATTGAATTTAAATAAAATAAAATTTCAAAAAAGAGGTAACTATGTGAGGTGATGGATATGTTAATTAGCTTGATTGCGGTAATTATTTCACAATGTGTAAGTACACTGAAACATCACACTGTACACCTTAAATATATACAATTTTTATATATACCTCTTTAGTTGTATATACCTCTACAGAGCTGGAAAAAAATTTTAAGTGAAGCCACGGGTATTAAAGAGTTAAGTGGGTGGCAAGGAACAATGTGTATTTATTATAAATATTTTAATAAGTAAGTAAACATAACTCATAATCAGCAGCCTTTGAGATGAGGCTGGACACTAAACATGACCTCTGTTTTACAAAGTCATAAATTCACAAATTGATAGTGAAAATAAGGTAGGAGAAAGATGAGGCTGGAAGGATGCTTAATCTAATTTTTTTAAAAAGATAAACTTTTCATTTAGATTTTAAAATTCCACCACTAGTCCTTCACTGATATATCAACAATTAAGTTGCTAATTGCCAAGGATTCTTATTTACGAAGTGAGGTAAACAAGAAAAACAGTGGACCTTGATGTCTTTTAAAACATTTTAAAATACGAATATTTTGATAACTCTTAAGTAATTCAATAATAAGATGATTTATGTAAGTTTGGAGGGGGCACTTTTTTCCTTTAAACAGACCAAAGTAAATGAAATTAGATAACAGATGTTAAAAGGTTTTGTGTGTAGGTAAGTATATTCTTCCTTCCTGCAGTCATCATATTATCATGTTTGTTTAAGTTTTGATTATTGGACTCATTTTGTCAGCACATGTACTAAAATTAGAATGATGGAGTAAAGATTAGCCTGACATATGCACAAGGATGACATGCAAATTTGTGAAGCATTCCATGTTTTGGAAACAGTAAGATGACAGGCAAAAGGTACTGTACATTAGGACTATCTGCTAGTCAATAAAGTTGTTTCCTCTAGGGGTAAAGAGTAACAATTCTGATCCTGCTATATATGTATCCTGGAATTAGCAGATGGCAAAAGCCAGACTTCTCACTGTTGGAGACGGAATCTATAGATAAGCAAGGAAAGAAGTAGGTTAGATGTACTCTACCACAGGGTATTAAAATAGAGTTGGAGACAACACCTTGAACTCATGTTTAGCCTATTATTAATGCCTGTGGTTGCATATAGAAATAGTTACAGATACCTGTATGTACACAGGTTAGTATTCACTATATCTCCTTGCTCTGCCAGCTGAAAAGGCCTAGAAATGACAATATTCCAGTAGCAATGAGCACTCTTAGCACCAGATCTTTTCTTTCTTTCTTTCTTTCTTTCTTTCTTTCTTTCTTTCTTTCT